AGGTGTCACTATGAAAGGCAAATCAAGAAGAATCACAAGCAAACCCAATCAATTAGAGCAACTTTCAATTCAATTGTTCATGTCATTAAGAGTTGCAATGCAATCTAGATTAATCTTATAGGTTTATCACTCCTAGTCTAATCAATCACATGCAAAACTATGTCAACCTATTTAATTGCAAGAAATCAATCAATCAAAGAGCATCAACTAGCAATTTCATTAATCAAACATGCTTCCCCCTTTCCCTAGCAACTAATCTACTCACTAATCATGGTGAAATTCAAGAACAAATAACTAGAAAGTGCTTTAATCTTCATTTCTACATCAAAATCTAAGAGAAATCAAAAATAATCAACAATATCACATTCAAATCCAAAGAAGAACAAGTAACAAGCAAAAATCAAATAGTAAGTAAGTAAAAGATGAAAGAAGGAAGAGATTCTTACTAATATTGATGATTGAAAATGAAGAAATCCAAACTTGATTGATCAAATGTTGAGTTACAAATCCAAAACCAAGAACTTCTCTCTAACTTCTCTCTAGATTCTCTCTCTAAAACTAAGCTAATAAAAATTATCAAAAAGTTCCTTTCAAAAAGGACATACAATTCTATTTATAAGCAAAGAAGAAATCGGCAGCTCCCGCGCCCTCTCTCAATGGACCCGCGCCCGCGGAAAAATGGGTACAGAACCCTCCGCGGGCTATCTGGGCATACCTCGCGCCCGCGACAACAGAGATTCTCGCCCGCGGCAGTGAAACCCGCTCCCGCGGCTAATCCCCTGCTCCCAAAGCCTGATCAGGGGGCCGCGGTCTCTCTGAATGGAGCGGCCTCTCCATTTTACGCGCGCCCGCGGAGAGCTCGCAGGGCAACCGCGGCAAGTTCCTGCCAAGTTTTGGCAATTTTGAGTAACATGGGCCCGCGCCCGCGGCCTGCTGGATTTGCCTTGGAAACCTCTCTGAGGCCTCTCCAAGCCCTCTCTAAGCCCTCTCTAGCCAAATGCTTCTTCCTTGCTTGATCATTAAAGTCCCAAATTGAATCCTTTGCCAAAGTGATTCTCACAATACCTACACAAGTACACAAAGAAAGGAAATAAAAGGGAAAAAGAGACAAATAAAGGAAAACACGATAAAAACACGAGAATCATAAAGAAAAGAGGAAAAAGAGAAACTAAAGGAAAAAGGACCAAAAATAAGAAAAGAAAGCATGAAAAGGGGAAAGAAATAACCCTAAAAGACTACCCTATGAGTGTCATAAATGACACTCATCAATAAACTACATACGTATGCACAAAAACCGAAAAAAGACAAACGGGACACTTTTCCTGGACACCGTGTCACGGTGTTGACTGTCGTGACACGGTACAGTCTACCGTCAGACGGTAGAAAGTCCCGTGTCACGGAACTGTTCACCGTGGCGCGGAAGAACTTGTCGTGACACAATGCGCAGTTCCAGTTCAGATTTTGTGATTTTTCCAGATTTTAATCGATTTTAGGTCCGTACTAATTACTATGTGGAAATAAAAACCCTCAGTCATGGGTTAAACAAAAGAGTAAACACATGAAGGTTAGCACCAAACAACCATGTAGCATTTAGTCACGATGATGTAAAAAAGTTCACAACCTAGAGTCAAGATTATGTTCAACTATTGGTCAAGCTTTGGGTGTCAAAAGGGTACCATGGTTAAGAGTTTGGACGCGTTAGCAAGGCAGCCTCCCTTGAGGGTGTATGCCAACGGGCGGCTCCGCGAGTTCGTGATGAAATCGAACTCGACTCCATGGTTTGGGTGGATTTAATAACTCGGATGAACCCTTATTGCCATGAGCGTTTTTGGGTTGATAGAGCTTAAATCCCCCGGGGCTAAGACGCATGTAGAACACATACGTTTTTTCAGAAAAATCAAAGGAAGTTGACTGTGAGAAGAGAAAATAAGCCACCGGACTTATTTTAGGACTGCCGTGACACGCCAAAAATTCCCGTGCCACGGTACCGCACACCGTCAGAAGGTGCACTGTACTGTGACACGGCAGATTCTGCCGTGGCACGGCAGTCAGAAAATCTGACTGGTGCCCAATTTTCCTTCGTACGCAATCAAGTTATTCAATTTCTCCTACGGGACAGACCTAAATGCGATGTTGAAACGTCTGTGCATATGCAAAAATGCCAAATTAATCACAGGAATATTTTTCAAGAATTTTTCAAGTCTCATCCACTCATCTTAATTAAATATCGATCACTCAAATCGATAAATAACCAAGAATCCTCCCCAGTGGAGTCGCCAAATTGTAGGCGTCGTTCGAAGTGCGCCTACGTTAAAAGCATGTGTGAATATGCTTGGCAATCATAGGAAGTGGGAATTGACATAATACGATTAGGGACAAGGAAAGTAGGGAGCCGCCAACAAGTTTTTAAGAAACTTGTAAACCGTTCACGGATCATAAAAGGCAACCACGATTAAGGGACAACGATAGGCAACAACGATTGACCCGTGAAGGTTACACCCCATTCATAATACATGATATTACTAACTCCATATGGTTCGGAACCACGAAAGGAGGATCGGGGATGATGGTACGAAGTGAGTCGTGGAGTCACACTCGCCCGTATTGGCCTCTACTCGATTCTTATAGTGAAAATTTATTCCTGCGATCTCAAAGGCATACAAACAAAATTCAATTTGCTCCAATATATTATTAAGCTAAATTGACTGAATATTAATGCAACACATAATTCTAAAATATCGTGATCACTTTAATTAAAAACAAGATTAAAAGGAACCTAAACCGGTTGTCCAAATTATCTTATTAGGCGTGATTTTCAATTACATATTCCCTTTAAACATGCAATATGGTGATCAATAAATATAATAGAATAACATCAATATTGGAAGCAATTTAACAATAATTCTAACAATATAAAATCGTTAGAAAAATAATAGAAATAAGAGGAACATAATTCTTACTTTGATTCTGTTTGTTTGCAACTACAAAATAATAAACGAGTTAGTAACTTCAAGGAAATAATAATATAACAATAACTAAATTAAATTAAATAAAGTAGAGTTGATTTGGGGCTAAACCCTCAAACAGTTCTACCATTCACGCCTTGGCTTAAGGACAGAACCACGAGTAAAGTATGGACTCCTTTGATTACTTGAAGAAGGAATTTTGAAATAAGAAGAGTAGGCTAGTATTTTCGCTAAAGCATAGAAGAGAGAAAAAACTAGAGAATTAATTGATGCCCCGTACATCAGAAATGAGGGGGTATTTATTGAGAAAATGTGCTGAGAGAGCACACGAAACCCTAAAATGATAAAAACCCTAAAAAAGTATCTCGCGACACGGCAAACTGTACCGTGAAACGGGAAGTCCCACCCTCAGACGGGAAACATTCCCGTGACACGGTGCAATTTTTGAGTGACGCGGGAAATTTTTAGTAAACGGGGAAGAAAACGCGTTAAGAGTTTACGCGGAAAGGACACGGAAATTCCCGTGTCACAGCAGGTTTCCCGTGTCACGGGAAATTCCACCGTCAGACGGGAATGATTCCCGTGACAAGGTGGATTCCTGCCGTGGTGTGGGAATTTTCAGCCCGCTTTTCCGTCTAAATACATTTTTAACCCTAATTTCGTTCAGCATTTTAAGTGTCGATTGATAATTTCGGGCCTTTTTTGATTTATTATTATTTGGGCTAAAATAAGAAAATAAGCAAATAAAATAAATAAAAGGTTTGGGCCAAAAATAAATAATAAAACAATAAAATAAAAAAGGTTTCGGCTGAAATTAAATAATAAATTTGGGCTGAAATTAAAACTATAATTTTACCAAACATCAAGACCAATCCATGGAATGTTCAAAAATACGAATTTAATCAAATACGTTTTTTTTAAGCACTCTCGGGATTAAATACTGAACCCGACCAATAGTGGCGATGAAAGGTTGTTCATCATCGGGTTTGGTTTTGGGGAGACATTTTTAGGTGTCTACAATATTGAAGCTTGGGTTTCACAATTTCTTTCTCTACTCTCACCTCTCTAGGTGTCTCAATCACAACCTCACTCAAAGATGCACAATTTCTCTCATCCTCTATCAAGACCTCCTTGGAGACATCCTTAATTTCACTCTTCCTAGGCAAACTCTCCTTACCTTACCAATCCTCAAGAACCTTACCACTCCTTGTAACAATAGCATTCACGGGTCTCTTAGGATCTAAGCCTTGGGAAGGTAAAGAAGAAGGACTAGCATGGTCTTTCAAAGCATTGGCAAGTTGAGAAATTTTGTTTTCAAGCATCTTATTATGAGTCATCACCTCATTGAATTTCTTGTCACTTACGGCCATGAAAGTGCTCAACTTGGTTTGATTTTCAATCACTACTACAAAAAACCCCTATCGAGTCGCCTCTAAACCATCTTACACATCGCTTCAAGGGGGACACTACAGGCACCGACACAATAGGTACCCCCTTATGTGTCGCTTATGACCTGATGCGTTAGGTTGGTTTACGAGTCGCCTTTTTCATTACAAGTGATGTGTTAGGTTAGTTTATGAGTCATCTTTTTCATTACAAGTGACGCGTTAGGTTGGTTTATGAGTCGCTTTTTTCATTACAAGTGACGCGTTAGGTTGATTTATAAGTCGCCTTTTTTTATTACATGCGACGCGTTAGGTGTATTTTATGAGTCCCCTACTTTTTATGAGGCGACGCGTAAAGTAATTTTTTTAAAAGTATAATTTTTCAATAGCATGCCTAAAATATTTTTTTTTTCCTTTTTCATCATTAAATTCACACTTACTACTATAATTACAACCTATGTAGGACTTGAACCTACATCTATGTGCAATAGCACATTACTCTACCATTTGAGCTAATAGGCTTTTGAAAATTTCTATGGAAAAACATCTATAAAACTACCATTAGAAATATCAACATAAACATAGACATCCTAGAATAACAAAGACAAGTGACAACAAGCTTTGACCATCATGCACCAACAATAGTAGAGAATTGTACCCCTTATACCTTTAATGATAAGACTACTGCTAAACAAATTAATTGATTGTAATTTGAAGATACTACAATATTTTCAAAAAGCATCATCAATCTATAAACAAATTAAATGACATTATACTAACAAAGATAGTTATACAATTCCATAAAAAAGTAATAAAAACAATAAAAATCCCTCGTCCTCTATAGCTAAGGCTTAGAGACCTGCATATAAAGTACAGTTTATGAATAAAGGAAGTGCAGAACATAGTTTCAGTTTATAAGCAGTTACTTTTGGGAAGATTATAATCGGTAAGATAGTTATGAAAAAAAAAAAAAAAAAAAAAAAAAAAAAAAAAGAAACAACACTAGCAGCAACATCATTTTGCAACACCCATGGTCTTTCAGTTTTTATACTTAAGTTTAAAATGACAAATGAAAGTTAATTGATTAAAAGAACGGAGTACACATAAATGGGTAGATCGATCTACCTTTCAGACATGCATTTCCATCATAGGATCTGTACTGATCACTTTATAGTAAACAGTTCATATAATGTTGCACATTAGACAGGACAATAAAGCTACCAAAGAACAGAACTTACCAGTTCTTATACAATCCATCAGGGGTATATAATGCGAGTTTCTTGAACTTTGGTTCAGTATTGACAATGTCAAACTGGCAAGGTAACTCCATCTACATAGCACAATCAAGAGACAAAAACACATCAAATCACACCCTAGCTTCATCAAATAAACTGCAACTAATAAGCAACAAAGAAAAATAAATAAATGTGAGTAAAAAAAAAAAATCAATGATTCAACAATTCCCGATAAACAAAAATGCATCAGAACCGTGTTACTGAAGCCAAGCTTTTGCGTAACAAGTGAAGTCCTAGCAATTGAAAGTAAGCAAAGAGCACTAAAAGCTTTCAGACTTTCATAGATAAGCATTGGCCATATGCATTGCTCTAAATTCTTCAGAGCAACAACAAATGTGTTATATATGATTTCAGTTTGGTAGTAATAAACTTAATGAAAAGAACACACTGATATAATACTTGCTGCAAAGTTACAACTCATCCAAAGCATGATAAAGGGGACAGAAGAACAGAAAAGAACAAAAAAGATGAACTAACACCAGCATGCATGAAAGGCTTTCCTCCATATATATTCAACTACAAGATGAGACTATAGAAATTAACATAATCCTGATCAATTTGGATTTATAACCCATGATATATAATTCATGTAACAACAAAAATTAAAGTCACAAACTTAAAAGAATATGAATCATTGTTAAGGTACCAAAAAAACAAAACAAATTAAACACCTCAAAATTCATATAATGAGCTTCAGTTAGACAACAAAATTATCCAAAATAATGAAGTGGGGTTTACCCGAAACAAAGAAAATCAAAGCAAAATTAATAATTGTACCCCAGAATTATGGAACCCTAACTTAAGATTTAGGGATTGGATCCATTAATTGAGCATCAAAAAAAATGTAAATGATTAAATTTTGAACCGGGTATTCCACAAATCTTGTAAACCCAATTCATGGAACAAAAAATACGATGGGAAAGTAAGAACTCTAGTCAACTGAAATCAGTTGCTTTGTATTAAACACCCTACAAATTATAAACCAATAAATTAGGTGAAAAAAATTGGGTAAAAAACACTGAAACCTTCACTATAGCATGCTCAAATGAAATTAGAGGAAGGTATAGTATGTCGCGGTTGGAGGAGGTGAAAGCGCCGCGGTTGTAGGTGAAATCTATCGCGGTCGTCGAAGGCGGTGGTAGCCTCTGCTACTGTTGGAGGAGTAGAAGTCGCCGCTACCGTTGGAGGAGGTGCAAGCCCAGATCAACACTCTTCACAACTCATATAATTAATATCTTAAGATTTTTAATCTGAACAAAAAAAAAAAAAAGCAACCACTCCGTAAGATCTAAATATTGCAGACATAGTCCAACATTAAAAGATGGGTATTTGAAGAAACTCCTCATACCCAAAAAAAACCGAAACCCAAAAAATCGAAGCACCATTGTCGCCATCGCCGCCACCATGGCAACCACTAGTGAATAAGGAGAGAGAAGAAAGGTGAGGGTGGGCCAGCGGTGGTGAAGGGGCAGTGATAGAGTTAAGAATGAAAGAGAATGAGCAATATAGAGATAGATCAGAGATATTGGAGTAAAGAGATAGAAACAGGATGAGGAGAGAGGGAGAGGGAGAGGAAAGAGGATGCAAGAGACTGAGAGTGAGGTACACTGAGAAAATAAAAATAAGGGGTAAAAATAAAACTTAGCATAGGTGTCTCCTGTAATAGTAAAAGACTATATGCAACTCGTAAAGTAATACTTTATGAGTCACACATAATAAAAGACTAGACGTGTATAATTTACGTGTCGCCTATTATAGTGTAGGTGATGTCTATGACTTTCAACTCATTTTTAGGTGTCTTTTTTATCTATCCTTATGTGTCACACACTTTGTAAGAGGCGACTCTAAAACCTTACGCGTCACCTATTAATTTGAGGCGACTCTAAAAGGGCGACTCCTTAAGCTGTTTTTGTAATAGTGAATGATTTCCTCCAAATTAGTCTTAGAAGAAGAGGATTGTGAATAGGAATTATCAACTTGAGTCTTTGGAGCAAATCCGGGTGGAGGGCCTCTTTGAGCATTATTTAAAAAAAATTGCCTCTCCCTTGATTGTTCCAATTACCTCTATTTTGATTTTGACCATAACCTTGATTATGGTTACCACCACCTTGATTATGATTTCCATAACCTTGGTTTTGATTACCATAATTTTGGTTTTGATTTTAGCTACTATAACCATGATTGTTATAGTTACCTTGAGAACCTTGGTTCCCTTGGTTCCTATAACCACCACCTTGATTATAGTTGTCAAAATTACCTTGGTTTTGGTAATTCCTATTTCATTGACCCCTTTGGTTATCAAACCTTTGCACATTAATATTGTTTGACACATAGTTCACATGTTCACTCTCATTGTTATCAAAATCATCATTACCATCCGGAAAAACATAAGGGCAATTACTAGCATCATGATCATATGAACCACACACATCACAAAACAAACAACCACTAGGCATGTTACTAGAAGAAGGAGGGGGTGAAAGTTAGAAGGAGTACCTCTCCCCTTAAATTGGGAGGGAAGACTTGGAGCTTGGGAAGAAGAACTCTCCAATTTTTCCTTGATTGATATCACTTCCTTCCCCAAGTTTGTCATTTGTGAGGAGATATTGTTGATTGCATTTAAATGATCAACCGAGTACACCGAAGATCTACTCTTGCTAGTTGATTCTCTCTCACCATCTTGCCAATCTATATAGTACCTCACAATTTACAACATCCTCAATGATGTCTACCACTTCTTCTTTCGTCCTATTCATGAGGGGACCTCCGGCTCCCCCATCAAGGCATGACTTGCCTTGGGGACTTTGGCCTCCATAGAAAATTTGAATAATTCGATAGGTTGGAATTCCGTGGTGAGGACACTCCCTTTAATACTCCTTATATCTCTCCCATGCTTCATAGAGTCTCTCACTTGGATTTTGTTTGAAGCCTTGAATCAAAGCTCTTACCTCCGCCATTTTCTTTTGTGGATAGAAACGAGATAGAAATTCTTTTGTAACCTCGTCCCATGTCGTTAGAGAATTCGGCTTAACCTCCTTGTCTAGCCATTCCAAAGCACGCCCAATGAGAGAAAAGGGAAAGAACTTGAGGCGGATGAATTCTTGGGAAACTCCGTTCACCTTGATAGTATTACAATATTTTTCAAATTCATTGAGATGATTTAGCGGGCTCTCATGCTTGGCTCCACTAAATTGTCGCCTCTCTATCAAAGTGATCATAGCCGACCTAATTTCAAAGTCATTTGCCAGTGTTGTAGGTGGAGCAATTTCACTCTCAAATCTATATGCACCGAGAATCCCCAATTCTTTCAATGCCACTCTCGGATTCTCTCCCATTCTTGCTTGTTCCTCTAGTGGCGGTTCTTCCTTACTTGAAATGCTAGAGCTCAAAGATCGCCTAGCAACCCTTAATCTTGTAATAGTCCTCTCAATCTCCGGATCAAATGGCACTAGTGAATGACCACGTGCTCTATGCATACAACTCACAAGAAATGATTAGTAGCACGGCTACAAGTGTAACCTAAAAGAGAAAAATCTTTTTGTTTTTTTTTTAGAATGAAATAGACTCAACAGATACAAAAAAGCACCAATGTCATTCCTCGATAACGACACCATTTTGACAAGAGGAAAACTAGGTCGTCATCTAATTCAAACACTTAACAAATCCTATACAAGTATGCGGTAAGTCAAGGGTCGAACCCAAAGGAATAAGTAGGAACTATGCTATAGTCTATTGTCAAGCTAAATTGAATAATATCAATGGTTGAGGTTGGTAACTAGGATATCAAGAATCAAGGAATTCAATCAATATGCTAAACACTAGGGATATAGGTTCCACATGCAAGCTCAATGATTATGCTAATTGATAGATCACCTAATTGATTCAAACATTGCAAGGGACAAACAATAGTTTCAATCAAAGGGATTTAAAGGTTATCTCCTATAAACCAAGCTAGGGTTCACTATGAATGGCTAACAAGGAGAATCACAATCAAATTCAATCAATTAAAGCAATTCTCAAATCAAGGGTTCATGTCATTGAAATTTGCAATGCAATCTAGATTAATCTTATAGGTTGATCACTCCTAGTCTAATTAATCACATGCATGACTATGTCAACCAATTTAATTGCAACAATTCAATCAATCAATGATTATCAATTAGAAAAAATCATCAATCAAGCATGCTTCCCCTTCTCCCTAGAAACTAATCTACTCACTAATCATGGTGAAATTGAAAGAATAAACAAATTCAATCACAAACGTATTCATTTCAAGCTAAATCAAAAGGAAAATCAATCAATCAACAAATTCTCAAACCTAAAGCAAAATCCAAACCAAACATTCAAGCATTAAAGAAAATTGCAATAGAAGTAAATTCAAAGGAAGGAAATCTCACAAACTTTCATTGGTATGAAGAAGAAATCCAAACTTTATTGAAGCAATGTTGTAATACAAATCAAATCCAAGAATTCCAATCTCTACTTTCTCTCTAACTTCTTTCTAGTTTCTCTCTCTAAAATCTAAGCAAATGAAATATTATCTAAAAGTTACCCTTCAAAAGGATTTACAAGAGTATTTATAGACAAAGAAGAAAAACAGATCGGCCGCGCCCTCTCCAAGAATATCCCGCGGGCGTGGAGAAATGGGTACAGAACCCATAACTAACTCCGCGGACAATCTGGGCAAGACCCGCGCCCACGACTAAGGGCGCGGCAAATGCCCTGTTCCAAGTGATGACAGGGGGGTCGCGGTCTCTCCAGATTCTCCGCGCCCACAGCTAGACCTCGGCTAGGGCGCGGAGAGTTCCTGCCAAAAACCATCAACTTGATGCACTTTATCCGCGCCCGCGGCCCTCAGGACCCGCGCCCGCGGCAATGAATAGATGCAGAGCGCCCTCTCCGAGCCCTCTCCAAGAGGCTTGAATCTTCTTTGCTTAGCCCTTTTTGCTCTTCTTGATTCTTTTGCAAAGCCAACTCCTTAAGCACCTACAAAAGTAACCAAAGAGAGAAAAAGAGAAATATAAAAGAGAAACACGAAGAAAACCACATAAAGGAAAGTAAAACACGAAGAAAGAAGAAATAGAGAAACTAAAGGAGAAAAAACCAAAATCATAAAAGAAAACATGAAAAATAGGGTGAAAACATCCTAAAAGACTACCCTATGAGTGCCATAAATGACACTCATCAAGTTGTCATTTGAAGTTGATCTTAGCACAAAAATCCTTCAAAACCCCTTTCAAATACTCTTACATTCAACTCTTAGACACTTTTCCTTGCTTCTTTCATTCTTCCTTCATTGATTCATTCTTGTCAGAGATTGCAGCAAAGATAAAAAATAGAAGGATGGTTTCATTGATTATAAAAGGAAGATTACAGAGGAAAATTCTAGAGAGAAGTTTTACATGAGAAGTTTTTACAGGATATTTGTGAATGAATTTAAAATAGCTTTAAGAGTTGTATTTATATCAGTTAGTTGTAACTAACTTTGTAACATAATTTATTCCTTTAGCTGATGTCAGCAATCCAATTTAGTCATGCTCTTTGCGTGTGCTTGTCCAGCTCAGCTTCCACTTGCTCATCATTATTAGTAATCTCAACACCCCCACTCAAACTATGCATTGTGTTAACCATGCCTAGTTTGAGTAATAGTTCTTTGAACTTTCCAGAAGGTAGTATCTTAGTGAAGATATCTGCAATCTAAGCATCAGTAGGCAAATATAATATCTCCAATAACCCTTCTAGCACCTTGTCTCTTGTAAAATGAACATCGATTTCAATATGTTTAGTTCTTTCATGATGCACTGGATTTTTGGCTATGTGTATAGCACTCTGGTTATCACAGTGTAAGGTTACAGGCTTCAAGTTCTGTACTCCTAGTTCCTCCAGCAGTCTCACAGACCATGCCACTTCACTTGATGCTGAAGACATTGCCCTGTACTCTACTTCTGAAGAACCTTTTGACACAACACCCTGCTTCTTTGACTTCCAAGTTATAGGAGATTTTCCCAGCAATAAAATGTAGCCTGAGATTGATCTTCTACTCTCTAAGCAAGCTCCCCAGTCTGAGTCACAGTATGCTTGCAGAGTGAATATATCTGCACCCCTTAGAAGAATACCTTGTCCATTTGTCCCATTATGTTGCAATGCCCTAAAATGAGGCATTCTAGGCTCTTGAAGAAACTGGCTGAGATGCTGTACAGTAAAGGACAAGTCTGGTCTAGTGTGTGTGAGGAAATTCAGCTTCCCAATTAAGAATCTGTATTTACTTGGATCATCAAACAAATCCCCTTATGTTGCTTGTAACTTGAGATTAAGAGGCAAAGGAGTCACAACTGCTCTGTCATCTTGTATTCCTGCATCCTTTAACAGCTCTCTTGTGAACTTCTTTTGTGACATACTTATTCCAGCATCCATGTACCCAATTTCCATACCAAGAAAATAACTGAGACTTCCTAAATCTTTAATGCTGAAGACAGAATCAAGTTGCTCTTTTAATCTACAAATTTCCAACTCAGCACTTCCTGTAACAACTATATCATCAACATATACTGCAGCAATAACAACATCCATATCCATTCTCTTGATGAAAAGAAAATAATCATTCTTTGATTGTTCATAACCCATAATCCTCAATTCCCTCACTAACTTGGCAAACCATTGCCTTGAGGCCTGTTTTAGGCCATACAAGGA